TGTGCGCCGAGTCGCGCCAACATCCTGGCCGTTGGCACCCTCTTCTCCTCGTACCGAAACGGTATTTGAGCTACAGCACGAGGAGGAGGGCAGCTATCTCCGTAGGAATTTTATCAGTATACTCTCCTAACATGCCCGGACATATTTCGTCACCTAACCCTGGGTCGGGGAGCGACGGTTGCTTCGCTGCGCTCAGCGAGATTCTCGACGAAGAAGGGGGCACTGGAGCGTGGGGAAGCGGCGCAACTCGGCGCAACAAGGTGATTCTTCATCAGAACACCCTAACGGAGGTGTGTGAAGTTGTTGCGCCGCGAACGGAGAAGGTCGACCGATTACACCCTGTAATCCGTCGGATAATATAGATAGGAATTTTATCAGTATACTCTCCTAACATGCCCGGACATATTTCGTCACCTAACCCTGGGTCGGGGAGCGACGGTTGCTTCGCTGCGCTCAGCGAGATTCTCGACGAAGAAGGGGGCACTGGAGCGTGGGGAAGCGGCGCAACTCGGCGCAACAAGGTGATTCTTCATCAGAACACCCTAACGGAGGTGTGTGAAGTTGTTGCGCCGCGAACGGAGAAGGTCGACCGATTACACCCTGTAATCCGTCGGATAATATAGATAGGTCGGAGTTGTGATGTATTGTAACTGTGAGAAAATGCGAACACTCAGCTGCCTGAATAGGCAGGTCAGGGGAAAGAGGGAACAGGGGCACATTAAATAAAACACAAAGATAATTCCACAGCTTCCTCAGATGGTGGCGCAACTCGGCGCAACAACGACCCAGTCCTGGGGAATATATATGGGGAGGTTTGGGGAGCTGTTGCGCCGAGTTGCGCCACTGTTTGAAGTGGCTGGGGCCAGTATGGTAGTTTTGCAGGTAGTAAACGTGCTGCTGGATGATGAGGAAGCGGCGCAACACGGCGCAACAAGTTGTCCCATATACCTTGAGGGTATACCTAGAGATGGGTACTTGTTGCGCCGAGTCGCGCCAACATCCTGGCCGTTGGCACCCTCTTCTCCTCGTACCGAAACGGTATTTGAGCTACAGCACAAGGAGGAGGGCAGCTATCTCCGTAGGAATTTTATCAGTATACTCTCCTAACATGCCCGGACATATTTCGTCACCTAACCCTGGGTCGGGGAGCGACGGTTGCTTCGCTGCGCTCAGCGAGATTCTCGACGAAGAAGGGGGCACTGGAGCGTGGGGAAGCGGCGCAACTCGGCGCGACAAGGTGATTCTTCATCAGAACACCCTAACGGAGGTGTGTGAAGTTGTTGCGCCGCGAACGGAGAAGGTCGACCGATTACACCCTGTAATCCGTCGGATAATATAGATAGGGCAGGAAAATGAGAAGAACACAACCTCATCCTCGACGTCTGATCGAATAGACCGGCGAAGTTGTATCCCTTCTGCATGTGTCACTGGGCTGATAAAAAGCCGTATACCATAGAGATCGAGCAACTTGGCGTCCAAAATTTGGCGGAACCACCTGGCAAGGCAAGTGGAACAGAAACAGTGCCCACATTCTACAATGCTGCAGTTGAAAGCAATTAGACAAGAGAGCCTCGATGGGAGAGCTGCGCAACGTACGTGAATGGCTTCTGCATGTGGGAAACACATATCCCACAGCACAATTCCTTTGAAATCAAGTTGGCAATCTTGGGATTGTCAGTATCGGAGGACGACAACAAAGAAATACCCTACAGAATCGAAGCGATCTGTGAGCTCTTGATGGATACTGTGAGACTGTGTAAAACTCTGAAGTGGATGGGTATCAATATACATTTGAGTGTATTTCTGAAAAAAGACGTACATCTTGAAGGGAAGAAACAGCGTTGCCTACGCTAGTGAGAAACTCCTGATCTGGTCTTGATTCAGCCCTTTGAGCCTCAGTCATACGAGAAGGAGCAGCAATTGCCGAGGGAGAAGGGAGTTCAGAAGATATCACACTTGGGATGCTAAGACGGGGTAGAACGCTCTGGCTGTTGTTCAAGGGAGTGGCTCGTGAATCGGCGCCTCGGTTTGTAGAAGAGCTTGTCGTCCTCGATTGACCTCGTCTGGAGTAGGTATAGCGGTGTATCGGAACCCTTTCAGCCATTTGCTGAGCGTGTTGGTGAACCTATAGATGGTAGGAAGCGATAAAGGCAATCACTCCATCGTGGCAGCCTGTGGGCTCTATATCTATAAAAGGAGCTGGCGCGCTAACTTGGAACCCATTGCCCAGAAATGGAGAATAGGTAAGAAGCGCAGGGAAAGGGGACATGATGCATGAGAACGCATGTGTCAGAGATACACATCTCGTCTTAGAACTTAGTCCGTTTCTCGACGGCGAAATTTTCATATGGCACGCTTCAAACAATGCGTGAAGCTTGAAGCTCCCAGTGGGAATCGGCGATGACAGTAGCCGAACTGAGCTGAGCGACGCTGAGGTTCAGATAGCCCAGCTACTGTCAGATTTTGATCGCGTTCTCAGAAGCTATTCCGAGCCGTTCCAAGATATTTCGATGAGAGCTGACGAGTGTTGCCGAGGATAGCTGTGCAAAGATGAGACTCGCTGTGTAGCGCAAAATGCCCTTCTTTATTTGGAATCTGAGTACAGCTGAGTACGAACGAGGTCTACTGATAATCTAATATACAGCTCCATTTCTACTACTGTCCATGTATTTTGAGAAAGTCCAAGCCAAGTCCAAGTGGTGCAAAGTAAGTCCGGGGCAATCCTGAGCTCGAGAGAGGGCCGTCGGGGGTACCGGTGAGTGAACAAGAAGAGACGTTCTCAGCGCAAAGGCAGAGTTCGGCGGCAACAGGGAAAAGGGAGGGGGGGGGTGATGGGCACTAGTTTGAGGCCTGGTCTTGGCTCGCAAGCCGTTTGTATTCCTACGTTCAGGAGAGTCAATATATTAGCGCAGAGTATCTTGGAAGCGCACCTGTTTGACCTCTGCTTGAACCAATGTATCCCACACGACCTTGAATTCTTGCGCTGTTGTCTGGGGATGATGCTGTAGGTACTCCATAAGGTAAAGGTTCCTAAAACCGTTAGGACAACTCTGGGACATGATTTGAGAAAGAGAAATGACTCACCGCTGTGTTGACGAGCCGTTGGGCTTGACTGGGGTTCGTTTCTTCGTCACTCTCGCATCCGGAGGTGGTGGTGGGAACTTAAGATTGCTGGAGCATCCGGCGTGAGGTGAGTCCGAAGACGGTCCCAATGGCAGGTCGTCGTTTGTGGTTGCAGCTGTTATGGGTTGGACTGGTGGTAGAACTATTGTCGGCCTGGGAACTGGGGGTGTCGCTGCAGAACGAGGCACGAATAAGCCTGCCCTAAAATCGACGTTAGCGCAGAATCAAAGATGCGAGACAGTAGCTTACAGGTTGTCGACCTAGCGCTCATAAGCGGTAATCGTGGTAACAGAGGTACTCACACGGCGGGGCCTCGTAGGTTTCTCTCGAATTCGTGGTGGCCTGTTGATTGCACCCAAATCCGTACCCAGTAACTCGCCGTGGGTGGAAGCAAGAGGTCTCTCAGGGGAGTCCTGCACAGTAGGTTCGAAGGGTGTCATGGCGTGAGACACAGTCAAAGGGCGGGATACTGGTGGTGCTAGAGTGGGAGCCCGAGATGCGGCGTTAGAGTGGTCTGCGGCTGGTGGTGGCTCATATACAGGAGTAGGCGACCTCGGAATATCGAGGGGTGGTGTCCGCATCACTGGAGGTGTCGTAGAGCCTGAGGGAGGCATTTGCCATGAGGCAAGAGCCCCGACGGATGGTTTCTTGGGCACTGGGGCATGCAGATGCCCTGGAAAGTGCAGGTCTGACGTGCTGATTGTGAGAGTGCCAAAAGTACGCACCGTGGTCCTCTAATTCAGTATCCTCCGCATCGAGACTCAAATCAATGAAGTTGCTGTCTGTCTCGACCTTGATTTTTCGTTGCTTGATAGCCTGCTTTCGGTGGCGCTTTGGCGCAGGTGGCGGTAAGGTCGAAAAAAGGTGTCGTGACGCCCTAAAATTGGTTCTGAAGCTCAGAGTCAAGTGAGTGTATCCCCATGATGAAAAAGGACTCACTACGCTCGGCCAGCTTGCCAGTCTGCCGCGAATCCCGGTTCCAGTCGGGGAATTTGATGCTTGCATATAAGCTTGCCTTGTACTTGCCATCCTCGCAGTAGTGGAACTCGCGGTGTTGTTTCAAAAGCTGTTGGCAAACATATTCCCCAGCGGTGGCTTGCCGTTTGCTCCAGGTCGGCGGATCCAGTCCAGCGGAATGAAGTTCGTTGAAAAGTCCGTACACGGTTTGGCTGAATGCGCTTCGTTGTGAGTCAGAGACTGGTCGGCCGTGAATATTATCGAGATGAAGTACGCCCTCGAGTGAAATTGCTGGTAAAATGGAATACCTGATCGACAGCAGTAGTACAAAAGTAGCCAGCTAAAACCATGGCCTAACGTACCGTGTTCCTCTCACAAAGAAGTCATGTCTACGAGCCCGATCTCCAACTGGAGCCCAACCCCATCGCCGATTTGTGGTGTGTCTGTTACAATGCGACTTGTCTAGATACATGTGGGTCTCAGGGGGTACTCAGCTGCAATAGTCGCCTGGTATTGGTTCCGTAATTCTTCACTGCGCTCGCGACCGTGAGTTGCTTGCGCAAGAGTCCGCGACGTAGAAGTGAACGGGATACGGTGCTGAGAGAGACATCCAAGTCGAGGACTGATTGTAGGGCATGTCGGATCTCTGATAAATAGATATCGGGTTGGCGCTCAACAAGACCCTCAATAAACTAAAGAGTAGACCATGATTCAGCAGGGAGGGGGTACAGTAAGAGAGAAACATACGTCGAAGTCGTAATGTGTCAGTTCCCGAGGACGTCCCACTGCTGTAGTTCCCGGTGTCACTGTCCTAAGATGCCTCCAATTTTCGAGTATACGATATATTGTGGGTGTCGAGATGCCCGTATGTTTCGGAATTTGAGTGAGAGTCATGGTAGTGGACATCGTAATGATGAGCTTCTTCTGCTGGTTACCTTGTGTGCGTGATGGCCAAGGTAGAGTAAGATTCGTCGTCGGCGGACTCAAGTCCTTTCGGAGTTCAAACCTTGATTATGTCATTCGCCCAAAGTAGTAAGTTTGCCTTGTCTACGATTTTGAAAACAGCTGTACTGAGGCATATCGTAAACAAATGATGTCATCAATGGTCAATTTCCATGTACGCGGCCAAACAACTGGGTACATAAGAGTAGGCCACCCCTATCTCAAGCTCCCCACTTCGATGCATGCTGGTAAAACCTGTGCTTCAGATTTACAGCAAGTTTCATAAAGATAGGCGGGTGTCGGCCATTTTCATTTGTTTACGCTGGAAGCTGAATATTATTGAGGCTGCCTTGGAGAGTTCTTGACGATGATTTGCGGCGTCAAGGATCCAAGATCGCAACAGGCCAAAGTAGCCCGGCCACAGTAAAATCGTCCTACGCCTAGTATTCTGACACTTGCTATTGTAGTGATTTTCAACATGCTTCTATGTTAGATTTAAGTCGAAGGCTGGTGGTTCGCTTTGCTCAACCATGAGCCTGGAGGCTTCCATTACGCACAATCACCGAATGATGAACCCTTCTCAGCATGCTTCGAATACTATAGCACAGGTACAAATCCGTTCTCTTCTATTCTGTGCTACAAACAACAGGATTCACCTCAGATTTTGGACTCCTCGGAATGGAAAGAATAGTGATCGTTGCACCTTAGCTGTGTACATGGCTCATTTGCACTTCAAATGCGGTGCTTAGAGTATTTATTCATTGTCCATTTATGGACAATGGATGCAAGCGGGCACTGCTCAGGGTCCACACCGCCATCTTCAGACCCCCCAAATTGGTAATGTTCCTGATTTCAGTGTTCCGATCTGAGTATGTAGTCCCCTGATACAACTCGGATATTGGGTAATGCGAGTTTCTCTGGCACCTAATGCCAAATTGGGCAAATGGCGGGACTCGGCCCTCGAATACTCCTTGTTAACGGCGGGGTGGTGCGCCCCCTTGACTGGTAAAGAATAAAGAATCAAAATTCACTCCTACCTAATGAAGGGGACACAGCGGGGCTGTTCTGGGAGGATGTATGGAATATACTGAGTCATTGTCATAACCTGAATGTTTTGCTAATGTGTCGAGCTCAAACGAAACAAGTAAAGTGGGTTCTCAGCAGCCCAATGTTTGCAACTCCAATTATTCCAGGAAGATTAATAGCGCGATGTGTGCGGGTTGCAGCACCGACATGGTGTTCAGAGTCCAAAGGGTGTTCTGCGCCGTTCCCAATCTCTATTACCCAAAGCGGACCCTCGGAATAATGGCCGACGCGCGGAGTTGTATCAGGGGACTCAAGACTGTTCCGATCTGAGTTCTACTGTCCTTGCTTTAAGCTTAACGTTTAACTTCCATTCAAATGCCACTTGGGATCCTCAGGAAGACATGCCGTAAAGTATACCCTTCCTTGTAAGCCTCCAATACCATGCACCGGCCGATCGCTCAGCAATGCACACATTAGGTGCGCTTACTACCGTTTGCTGAGAACTAATGCATATTCAGTCATCTCGGACCCCTCAAATGCGACATCAATCTAGAAGTCCAAGCAAAATTTGATTCTGTTAGTGATTCACTACTTTCGCTGATATGTACCACCAGGTTGGCCCAGTCTACTACAAAAGCATGTCTGCCTGGTGCATTGGCCACATCATCTTCACTGAATATATAACACCACCGCCGTCGCTTCTGGTGCTGCTGCCGTTACTAACAACAAAAATGCCAGCGGATGCACCGCGCGACACCAAGCTTTCTGACCGTACTAGATCTACTAGAGAACCAGCATCGATTCCTGGCTCCTCAAGCGATAGAGTACTGCAACAGTCCGTTGACTCTGCAGCTAGGTACACAATTCACAAGTAGAACGAGCAATATGACTATCTCTAATGTTATCACTAGGCGGCGGCTTTTTGTTCTGGGAGGCGAGAAAGGACGACTGTGGTTGCCTCCGGTGGCTTTCAATCAGTAAGTCATATAATTCTACTCATGGTGACGCAGCCTGATAGACCGACGTAGAGCATTTTATTCACCATCACCACAGACATCGACGTCTGCACCTGACTTCTCAAGTGCTCGTGCTGAAATACTGCAACATGCCGTATCCTCCACGTCTAGGTATGTAACTCAGTCCAGTGTAGATCACTCTATTTCTCATCTCAATTGCAAGCGGTGAAGCCTCACAGTCTCTTCCCTCTGCTGGGAATTGGGAGATGTACGCACGGAAAGTCAGCATGCCACCTAACAGCAATTGGCAGTGTCTATGGTCGGTGAAGCACAAATACACATCCATTCCCTGTTTGTACGCGTCGACCAGGAAGCTAGATGTCAAGCGGCATATTGAGACAAGTCATCTCATGATCAAGTAAATTCCAGTCATCCATCCGTCCTTCAATCTTGTAGCTGATTTACTTCGCAGACGTTTCACATGTGAGATTTGCAACAAAGCATTTGCGAAGAAGGCTGGGTTTGATGCCCACAAGAATGAGCAGTACGTGTATTTGTATTTTATTTCCTCCTTGGACGTGGCCTGATTTATTTATTATTACCGACAGCTTGGGGAAAACACCATTTGGGTGCAACTATGATGGCTGTGGCCAGGCATTCAAAGACGCCAGTGCTCGGCAGCGTCATCACATTGAAGAACACGGACATACACCCAAACAAGTCAAGAACAGGTTTAAAGTAAGCATTGCATAGTCAAGCAGTATATTTTGTGAAAGTTTGCCGCCTGATACTATATGGAACATCAGCTCATACATTGATGTCTCTTGTGGAATGTGGTCTGGTTGAAGGAAAGCGATGTGGGCGTAACAAGAAAATCAATCTCGCAATTGATGGACAGAGCTACATTGCAGAAGCTGTTCTAGGACTTGAATACCTACATCAACAATGTATAGTACACCGGTGAAGACTACCTCCATTTTGTTTCTTGCTGTCACGGTGACACCAAGCATACTCTCGAAACCCGATAACCTCTGTATAATCACCTAGGCCGTCAGATGTTAACAAATTCATACATTTAGTAGTTTTCTGCGAGGTTCCTTGGAAGGTCCTCTCCCGTCGCAGCAGAATACTGTAAGCACAAGCCATGAGTGAAAGGGACGGCCACACACCATGATTGCACCTCGATGAGCCGGGCCTGCAGAGCTGAAGATGCCGGCGTTGTTCACCGGGCCGACATCCTTGTCGTCTTCGTCTATCTCGCCCGTGCATGCCTTTCGCCAGCATCAACACTTACAGGATCAAGGAAGATCAAGCTTCAAGGACGCTTAGGCGATGTAAACATCCAAGAACCCCTGTCCCAGTCGGTTTTCTTTGCCCATTTATAGGCAATGGATGCAAGCGGGCGCTGCCTCTCTTGCACGAACAGAACTGTTGAAGACCTTTCCATGGCAGACAATACACCTCTGACTCAATGCCCGTAACTCTAGTCTTGTCAGGGATCTCTTCTAAACTCTGCCGGCATATCAGACAGCCGGATGATGGATGGTGAGGAGGCGGGCGAGTGGGAGGAGCGGTGCTTGGAAGGCAACATGGAGGACGAAGGCAAGTCTGATGAACAGGATTCAAGTTTTTCCCGCCTTGATCGCTGGGCACGCTTGCACCAATGGGTCCTCTACAGCACCACAAATATGTACACCTCGTTTTCACAACAATGGTGTCGATTAGGCTCCAGTAAATAGAGTCTATGTACAGTAAAGCCAAATTATATCGTTGCAGAACAATTGGCAAACTCGACAACGCAAATTACCAGCTTCATACTGGCGTAAGACATTAAGAGATTATTTAAAGACGCTCAAAACAAGGTGTCATTTCGGACATACAGCTATAAAACAACTACACTTTACATCGTATCATCGTCCATCAATGTATCCTCAGTCTGAGTGAAATCAACACTTTTCTGAATGGCCAATATCCTCCGCTTCTCCTTTGACAGGCTAGATAGCCATTTCGCCTCATAGAAGTTCCGTGGCAAACACGGCACTGCTTTGCTGCTACTAGGCATAGCGTGGACCACATGCTGCCTCTCAGCTGGTGATCCCGTGTCATCAAGTTCATGAAGGAGCTTCGTAATATGTGGACTTCGCCAAGGAACCTGGCAGACAGTTGGCACGGGCTCTTCACCTCCATCTGACTCGTCTGAGCTCATCCCCCCCAGGCCAAGTTTGTCCAGCATATCTCGATGGAAGTTACTTCCAGTAAGCTGAGAAGCACGGGCAGTGCGCTTATTGAACAACTAAAATAAATAAGTACTTGGAGGTAATCGAACATGCATGATCTCACCTTTGTCTTGCGTTCCACTCTGCGAGCTGTCTGATGCCCTTTGAATGCACGCAAGGCACTTCTGATTCCTGGGACGCTGATAGCTTTCGGGAATGTCCCTTTGGTGCTTCGACAGAAAGGACAGACAGTGTTTTCCGCCCCTTTCAAACAAGTCTTACAAAAAATGTGCCCGCATCTCGTGACAATCATGCTATCGTCGCCGTCCGTGTCGAGCAGGCCGTCCGCATCGATGCATATGCCGCAGATGAGTGACTGATATACCTCCCGCTCGGTCTACAACTTTGAGTCCCCGACGAACTCCAAAGATGTAGAAATACTCACACTTGCGAAACGCAGACGTTCCTTTTCGAGCTGGGTGGCATTCTGACAACATAATTGAATAGAAACAGAAGAAACAGGAAAGGAATTGTACCGCTGTTAGGTCTCCTATTTGTCGCTCTAATCCTGCTATTATCTGACAGAGCAAAGGTGAGACGACGTTGTCAGAAGCCTGCCAAAGTTCTAGTAGTGTAGAAGCGCTTACAGCCGTACAACGAGAGCGTTCCTCTTGTTGCCTTGCAGCGTCCTAGGGACAACCTCAGCGAGAGGTGATAGAAATGAAGAATAGGGACGTGCCGCCTTTATTTGTTGTTCTAAACTTGAGATGGTCTTGCGGAGTTAATGAGAAAGATTTCATCATGCGCAATGATGGCCAACCTCCATATGACTTAAAGCGAGCTACAAGCAAAGACAGAATGAGCACGGGCACGAGGACGTTTATGAGAACTCACTGTATCACGTTCGCGAATGGATTCTTTCAATGCAGCCCGGGATGTGAAAAGATCCGCACGCAGTGTGTTTGAATGCTAAACACCCAATGAGAACTCATGCATTTGGGTGCCGTGTTATGGAACCCTCACCTTTTGTTGCTCCTCGAGCATCCACTGCAATTCAGCCGTGTCTTGCTATCATGGAAGGTTCAAGCATACTTGTTAAACACGAAGGGGATGGACTGACTTTCGGGATGCAAATGTCGGACTGGTATCGGTTTTGAAGAGTTTGGTGATGCTGGGGAGCATAAATTAGCGGTAATTGCACTTTGCGAAGCCAACCAACCATCTGTAGATCGAGGAGTTCGTTGGTCATCTTATGGTGTTCCTCAGCTAGCTATAGAACACTAATGAGGCGCAATCAAATGATTTGGTTCATATACTCACTCGTTCAGCATCCTGTAAATGGCATCTCATTTCCTCAAGAATGTCCTCCCATTGTTTATTTCCGTGAGGTGAACCTGTGCCAGTGGGGGAGGTTAACGGCGCGATAGTTCCACTACCAGCAGGAACAGACATGGGAGGGCAAACGTCAAAGAAGATGGGATGGGTGGGCTCTCTTTATAGCCCTTTGAAGCCGCTCGTCACTCAGTTCCTTTCGTGTTCCTTTGTGTTAACCCAAAGACTCTTAAAGGCATGGCACACAGGGGCTAATGATAGGGGGAACTGGCCTGCCGCTTCAGATCACCTGACTTACTTAATGCCGGATGCACGTAGATGCACATGTACAAGAAAGGTGCCTTTCTCGTGCGTGCATCGGTACGGCAATTAATTGACTGGTATTGACCTGCCAGTGGAACAAGACCATCAGACGAAATTCTCTTTATCCAGTCAGTCGAACGGGTGCCTAAGTATAATCAGCCCGGTTTAGGGCGACAGAGCGAAGGGTCACACTTCGCACAGAAAGAATAACAGAGCTATAGAGTTATGTGCAAATTGTGCGCTCAATTGTAAAGTGCTCCCTTCCACAGCGCGGGTGCACCTGTTCTACACAAATTGACCTCGCGAACGTACGCAAACCCTGGCGACTCAGCGAGGGCGACCAATTGAACACCCTCATCCAGTGCGTACGGAGATTCATTCACCCAACCCACCATACCTATCATGTAATCATTGCCAGCCATATCTTCTCCGATGACAATCACTCGTTCGCTGTGTCTCAAGAAACGGTTATCGGGAATGATCTTCTTCAGAAGAATCTTCTTGGTTGTGAGGTTCCTCTCTTCGCCCATCTTCACGAAGATGCGCTCAGACCAGCGATCCAATGCCTCCGTCACCACTGTATATCCACTGGCCGCGTTGTCAGTCCGATAAGATCCGTCGTCGAAAAGAGTGTGTAGAATCAGTATTTGGAACTTCTTGTGCATCATCACAGGGTTCCTTAACCAATGGTCTGCAGGACAGTGTTAGTACTTGCCGGATAGGTAAGAAGGTAGCTCTCAACATACGAGTGAAGCGATGTGCTGCGGAGGTGACGTCGCGTGTATATTCATGTGTCACCTCTGGCCATGAGGACTCTGAGCGATCGATATCAGGACATGGGGTCATTGCCATAGGCACCGGAGAAGCTGGATCCGGAGCGCGGAGATGTGGGGGTAGGTGGATTGCTTCCATGATGGGTAATTTGGAGCTACTGTGGGATCAATATTGGACGTAGAATCGTAGAGAAGACGCACTATTTCTCCTGCAGATGTCGAGCTGATAGTCGAGCTGTAAAGCAGGTGATGTTGTTGAGTTTGTTGACTTCGAACTCAAGTATGGCCGTGTCTTCCGTGTCTTCCATGCTTCGGTCGTCGCCGCCATTGGAATTACTATCATTCGGCGGGTTAACCAAACAAGAGCCTACAACGTAGCCTTCATAACCCTTGAGCGGGTGGTCAACGATCACCACTTCGAGGCCTCGAAAAGGGTCGCCCGTATACATAGCTTGGATATCTTGGGGATTCCGGGTATTGGGTGGGAGCTGGAAGGGAGTGGGCCCGGATTGACTGCATTGTGCGATAATTCGTGCGTTCCGAGTATCTGGTGGGGTTCGTATGCACCCGAACGGTATGCTAACCTGCGGGAATCTGTGAGCTAGCCTCGCATTCGTGAACCAAGCATCTCACCATCCGGCCGATAGCCTGCTGTGCTTCCTTGCCTCTTGCGTTAGCCGGTTCGTCGAGGTATATCCGGGCTTTGGCTTCGTCCACGCCAACATAAAATCCTGAACGTCCTTTAAGAGTGCCCAGTATAATCTCCACCTCGTCACCAAGATCAACGGTTCGCTGGACATCTGATACCCTGACATCTATCGTCTGCTCTGCATCGGTGTCGGGAGAGATGACTGTCGTATGATGAAGGTATTTGCATATCCTCCCTTTCAATCCAGTGTAGGGGCCTGCTATCACCGTTGTTGTGCTACCCTGCGGTCCCGCATAAGCCAAATCCTCTTTCGGCACCTCAACGTCCTCCCACCAGTATCTACCCTTCATCCGTACTGATAGGGCGGGATCGGTAGCTACGCCTTCTTCAACTATGCCTTTGAATCCCTTCCATGGACCCTGGGTTACCTCAAATTTCTCTCCTTGACGAATTTGTAGATCTCGAGCTTGGTTAACGAACTTGCAGATCTCGGTGTGTCCCGTAGCTTCAAACATATCCAGTTCGTGAGCAGTAGGGTGTATATCATGATAGACAAGTTGATCCACGTCTATTCTCCTGACTTCCAGTCCCGAAAGGTATTGCCCGTCGGAACTCACCGTCTCGAGATTGCCAATACCGTCGGAAGTAAACAAGGCCCGGTCGGAGGAGGGCCCCCCCTCCTTGACAGAAGGGTCCATTTTAAGGACCGGTGGTGCAGCAAGGCGCCTGCGTGTGCCGGTCAATTCGCGCGGTACCACAAGGACGAGGGCGTGCCTTGCGTCCATATTGTAGTTCACAATGATACCGAGATTGTGTCGATATCGAGTACGGTCACGGATTCGGACAAATCGTTGTTGCTCGTTCGCCGGCTTTTCGACTTCACTGACGAAGTTTTTTACCATTGATAGTAGGGCCAACCTTTCGCTGATGGGTACCAAGTCGACGGGGCCACCTTCAGCCTTGTAATATCGGAGCCAGACATTGTTTATGCCCATGAGAACAGTGAGGGCAGCACCGTAGTTTCGAGCCTCAACGTAGACAACACCAGAGATACCTTCTCTGTAGAAGGCACTGTCGACGCCATCAATCTTCAGGGCCGAGACTTTGTTGAATATAGTTGTAACAACGCTAAGTTCGCAGCCAGGCTTGAAGAGAGTCAGCTGCTGTATCGAATTTTATGCATAGGAGATGATGGCCTACTGTCACGGCGACTTTCCAAATGTCTCCGTCTGTGATAGAAGGGAGATACGCGACAGTAGCCTTCCACCCGTCTGTATGTTTCTTTCGTTCTGCCGTGTGTTGAGCTTTCCAAGCGGATCGCTGGCTACCTCTATAACGATCGACGATGGCGTTCACCATAGACTCGGCATCAGTATTCCAGAATTCCAGCGGGTCGGTGTGATGTCTGTTAGTAATCAAGTGGCTGGAAGGTGTCTCGGGTTCATCTGAGATAAAGGCTGTAAATCTAAGCATTGAATTGGAGATGGGAGATGATGTTTTTGAGGGTACTTACAATCTGTATCAATGTCGTCGTGGTCGTCATCATCATCTGAGTTTTCCACCCCGGCCTCGATGTCAAGGAAAGCAAGTATCTGAACGACTGTGTTGGTACGATACGGGAGCGCAAAGATATGAAATTGAATCTCACGTCTCGGTATGGTCTCATGGCTGGCTACAGGTGTCAGGTATGAGGCCTTGAGGGAGGTACGTCAGCACGCGACCTTCGATGGTCACGTGCACGTGATTTGATGTTACAACGCGCTACTACTACTATACAGCGCGTTGTTCCGAGTCAACAACTAGTCGAATGCATAGCAAGGAGGCCCCCAAAGAAAAGGGCCTCTCACGACGCAACAACTGAAGAGGGAAGTGCTTGTTTTCATAGCGCGGGTAGGCGCTGTATATTCTGCATGTTGCTTGGCAGAAACAAGAAGTAAAAGATTCGAGGGAATAATATACATGCAAAATACTCGTGCATCGAAGTGCAATCCCTGCATCATCATCTACAGTGTCCGCTACAATCATATGTGTAGATTCATTTTGTTGCACCCTCTCGGGCCGTCTGCTCAAAAGTAAAGAACGGCGAGCGACAGACCTGGGCCTTTACTATATATAAACCACGGTCCGCGCCTACTAAAAGAAATGGATGGTATAATAGGTGGATCCCCAGTGCCTATGACATTTATAGGCACTGGCGTGTGGGTTTCTAGGATGCACGCACTGCAGCGGAATCTGGCGCTGCGAAGTAAGTAAGGTGACTCGAAGGCACGCTAAGAGGCAAGGGCGATTAGTGCGAATGAACGAAGTTTCTTCTTTGCCGTTCCTGGTAGAATTTAGGGTGAGCGCATTGTGCACAGTCTGACGAGAACCCGGAACAGACTTGCCAGATTTATGTATTCGTTGATGCTGTGCTGGGGGATCCTGCTATCAATAGACAATTTTGATTCCGTTCACACACGCGGCCTAGCGCCTCGTAACGTGCCCTGCGTTCCATTCTTTGCAAGCTTCCGTGGAATTTCGACATTCCAACGTCCTACGTCATTTGTTCTTTTCTGGAACACCATTGAACATTCTAACATCTGACCGGACTCTAGCTTGTTCGGCTAGCATGGATCCACCTTTGATACGGAATATCGCTCTCCTTTGTAGGATATGACTCTTCGAGCAATGTTTCCATGTACGTGACAAAGGTGTGCGGACAGAAGAAAAATCTCATTTAAAGGAGACACTCGATAGTCAGTGACTGACCTTCTCGTGTCGGGTTCGGTCGTATATAGAAGAAGGAATCCACTTTTTCTCGCCTTCATTTTCGTCTTGCTGCGTTATGTCGACCCTATTCCAAGATGATAGCACAACAGCAACGGGTGTGGATCCCCTACCTACCTTGCTGGCGGGAGGTGATTCGGAGCGTAGTATTCGTAATGCTGCCCTGGAGTCGGCTCTCACAAACGCGGCTCAGTCAGTCATTAATTCATGGTGATGGTTTATCACCTCCCGTCTAAACATAATCTTCAGGCGCAGGAGTTTCTGTGGTGCAAGGGAAAAATCGAACGGGGAGCCTGTATTTCTCTTGCCTCCACCGAACCGTAAACCCGACGGGATGCCAAGTTCCCGTGTAGCTCGAGGTGCTTTCCAGTTGAGTCGCGCTCTGAACTATGGTACCTTCCATCATATACTCAATGTTCAACTTTAGAGGCGGGACATCCGAAACATCGACGCCGTTGTCGACCTCGAAGCCACTGTTGACCTCAACGCCGCTTGGAATACTGGTGCACCCTAACACGGCCTCACACACGAGCTCCGATTTGCATTCCGTGTCCGCAGCGGACAAATGCAAGCATTACATGGAACTGGCGCGGCAGGCTGATGGCAAACTCCTATGGCGTTGCATATGGCTGGCAACGGGGTCGAATGCCCCTTGTCATTATACATCCAAAATCAGTAATGTCCGAGAACACATACAGCTAGAGCACCTAAATATCACGCTCGGGTGCGTCATTGGCTCTTTGTTTGTCTCGAATTGAATGTTAACTCTCTTGGGTCAGACGATTGGTATGTCCAGAATGTCAGAAGACTTTCAATCGAAACACCATGCTTGTTGAGCATTGCCGTACACAGTAAGTCCTTGTCTTCCCCAACATCATGTTTTCAACAGCTAAACGTGCCGCAAACTAGCCCAAGCATGAAATCTAAACCATTTCCATGCTTGTACGAAGGCTGCGTTGAAACCTTTGGTAGCAGTGGCTCACAGAACCGTCACTGGGTGAAAGCGCATGGCCATGTCACGAAAGGAATGAAACAGCAATTGAAGAACAATATGTGTACACCCGGACTTTCATAGGTTCAACTCAAGCGAATACTTGACAACTTTGCCAGGTCGTCTAGGCCTGTCGCTCACCCAACGGAACTAATTGCAAGTTCACAACTACGAACGATCCGGTTGCAATCTTATTTCTTTACGCCGGAAGCATATATATTACTGAGGTCGAGTCAGAGTTTTTGACGATGATTGGCCGCATCGAGGACGGCAAGGGGCGGCATGCTCAGTCGTTCCAGGACCAACGCGATATCTTGCACACATATAATCATGTAATCTGTAACAAGTTCCTATCAACAATCAAGCTCACCAACATATGGCCATGCATGCACATTATGTCCGAGAATAATTATAAGTCAAAGGCTATTTAACGGTCGTATTGTGTCAATTGAGCCAAGCTGGCCAGCGTCGACAGCGATACACGAGTTTGCGGCCCGACTGCTGAATCTGAAAACCCGATTCGCGGCCCACAACGACCATGGATCTGCAAGCATGATGGCAATTGCAAGAGAAGGTATATTGCACAATAACATATACGTAATGGAGTAAGTGGTACACTGTGTATTCAATCCTCTCATTTGCTAGACCTTGTACTGTTGCTCGGCAGTCCCAATATCTTCATCGCCGAACGGTAGAGCGGACAGATCGGGGCTCCAAGTACTACGGTGAAATCATCATAATACAAGAGATGGGTGATTATACATGCTACGGACAAATCATTGTGATACAAAACACGGGCGATATACATGCGATGTGTCATTATAGACGGATGATGTAGGAAGCGGCAAGGTTGGCCATTGTCCATATAGCCTAGCATGTAATGGTGCGTTTTGCGACGATTGCAATTGTGCAGGATGTTGTTACACTGTGGCGGTGCCCGAATCATCGAGTGTATAGGCCGTCTGTTATTTAGGCGAGCGTCGGTTGAGTTGTCATGCTTGCAAATTGCCATGGCCATCGTTCTATTGCAATTGAGACATCACTGCAACACCGGAGGGTGAACTCTGAACCTACCACAGATCTCGATGGTATGTATGCTTTGGGAAGAACACATGCCCTCCCCACTGCCACAATTAAGCCAAGAGATGCCTAATGTGTCGCGGTCAAGGCCGCATTGAAAGTGACTTACCTGAAAATTAATGGCAGTTTGAGCAAAGAGCTATTTAGACAGGCATACTAGTACTTACTGGTATAGTTGGATCTACATCTGTCTGCCATTCGTATGCTCCGGGATCGAGGTCGCTGTGGGCGAACATTGACAGTCGCCCATCTTGAAGAGTGAGTGTCACGTCTGTAGCCGAAATACCCTGCATGTCAATCTCCACAAAGGAGATGTCTTTCCTCTCGTATCGCCGCACCCTAGGCGATTCCAATCCAATACAATGGCAGAAAGCAGGAAGGCACACTTACGTTATTGGGCGCACCCTAGTCCTCTCTGCGTCCTTGATAAATTCTGCGTCAGAACTTGAAGGTCCCCACAATACACGGCTCCCCTGTGGTAGACGTCGGAACGATCTTTGGGCGACAGGACCACCTTGCGGTGCTTGGGCTGCAACATCGTCACTGCATCCGAAGCCGTGAATGCATGGTCGGAATCGTGATCGGCGACGTGCAATAGTACGACTGCCTAAGTCTCGCGACTTCGAATTCTCCTCTCGCTTGTAATGATCTTCGAGATAAGTGTGAAACATCTACATCGATCTTTAGTTCTTGCTCATCCTACAAAATCAATATGAATGTTCATTATACCTGCGATTGCTGTGGTTCCAGCGGCCACCGAATCATCCACTGATACTGTAGAGTCATAAGAAAAGCCTTTTTTGCTTAGATGAACCAGACTTGGTTTTGGCATATGCAGAGACAAAATTAGAGAGGAATCTCTTTTGTTCTGGGGACACCATCTCCTCAATGCCGCAAGAGGACGACAATTGCAACATCTACTGGCGTGTATCACAGGTCACGTGAATGTTCTCAGGTAATTGTTACCGCATCAGCTTCCTCGACTGCGATGAGATGTTCTGAAGGACCTATGTGCCTACACCTTCATCATATATAATTGTCTAGTAGTACAGTTCGGACTCACATATCTCACACTAATAGCAGGAGTAGCAATATGGCCGTGGACGTTGTCGGGATTTCATGAAACGACTGACCACATGGTGTTGCGTCGGTGCTATAATCTGATAAGATAGGTTCAAACGCGAGAGCAAAGAGCTCGGTGACCGGGAGAAGTTTATGTCGCATGTTTCATTGTTGCGTGTTGCACAGACAAACCATCGTCTGCAAAATACATGAGCGATTCATGTTACGATGGGCATATCACTGTTCAAATGTACCATGTTGACATGGTCTCGAACTCTTGGAATTACGGGTAGCTTCTTGAAATAGGCATCAAGAAAATGGCAGAGTGATATGTACATGTAAGCAAGGAACTATCAACTGGGAGCGTATGCAGTATATGTAGCCAATGATGAGGACAATTCAAGGAGAAGGCGAGCCGTGAGTCATGAAATAGTTCTTCAGTATGGGGAAGTCGGCTATGGATGCGTCAATCATTGAAGAAAAGGGATTCCCCTCGTATTTTGCAATGACGATATTTCCTCGCCAGGCTAATCTCTCCTTGAAGGCGGGTCCTTGAATCTCGCGAAGGAAATTGTTCATAGGGAAAGGTAGGCCATCGCTGGAGACCGTCGGGTAGAATATAATGTAGGGGTGGGTGAACTTGCAGTTCATGCCATCCAACGCCTCCACCAACTGGAAGATTATATGTTATCACAACTCCGTAAAGATGGATTGTCAATCGCTGTACGGGCATACCTGATATTTCCATGCACGTGGACCTAAGCCCTTGGGAATGTAGTCCATAAACTGCTCAGGATGAGGCAGGCGTTGCGAATAGGCATGATGACCTGGCACCGCCAATATGAGGCTGAAGAAGTGAGTTTCAGACAAGTCGCGATGGTGGCTAGTTATTACCTCGTCATTAACGACACCTATGGGTATGTCGCAATCATCAGCTTCTTCTACCAACCTGTTGCCCAGCTATACGCACCATGTGTGGCCGCCCATCCGAAGGGAACAGAATGGCTTGAAAGCTGCGTGGTTGATCCATCGTGGTGCTCGGGGTTGTCGTATGCGCTAGTATATAATTGGCGAATGACACTTGAAGGACGGGATTAAGATCTGAATATAGAAAGTTAAATGTCGTACCATAAGGTACGAAGAGCGTCAACCAATGCTGGCGGAGAAACAGGTACACCTACCTCTGACCATAATATATTCACTTTCTGAATGTCGAATCATGATACACATAGAGGCAGGCTCGTCGCGCTCGAGCTGAACTGATGCTCGATTACATATGGCGCGCTCGCGCCTCTCTTATATGCTATCGATATCGTCCGAGTCGCTGACGACAGCTGGATGTGCAAGGACGAATAATTTAAAGAACAGTTCATGTTTGGTTATACTCAAAGGCGAACATAGCTAGTAAATAACGGTCTTACAATTGTATCAACAACTACATATCATTGGGCGGGGTACATGAATCGTGGAGCTTTGGTGGCATGGATGCATGTGGTGGCAGGAGGGAAGAAGGAAAACCTGTGAGCACCCGTTTTGCCCCATATTTAAGCATTTGCGACGCGGAAGAAACCGAAGAAAGGCGGACTCTCACGGTCACGCTGAAGAAAATCAGGACGCAGTTGAGTGCTTAGTTGTGGAATTCAAGTTTTGAATGGAGTATCTAGCGACTAATGAGCAGCCCAGACTATGGAAGCAACAGAACGAATTGCAAACTACGCACAAAGAGTGCAAACGCCGCTACTTTCTTGATTATCGCCGTTACCGTCCGTAGCCACAGAGACGAGTCCTGGTATCTTGTCAGTGGTCAGCACCTGTGGCCAATACTAGCGAACTTGCCGTATACTGTGTCTTGGGAGTACGAACTTCGCGCGAACCTATCCACGCATACAGCTCAGTCAAAGATGATCAAGCTCGGCGTCAATGTTTTAGGGAGGGATTAAAATACAACATGATCATGCTCGCAACACAAACGACATATTCGGCACACCGAACTTGTACACCAACGCCCATTCATGCCTGCGCAATGAGTCGGTCGTCTTGAACACATCCGTCCCCTCTACTGCCGGCAACCTAACTATCCAACACCTTGAATCGCCTACACGCCGGGCTGCCCATCCCTCGAACGCCTTCAAGCGCAAGGCCGCCGCCTGCGTTGGGACCATTGTCCAACCACGATTTGAGTAGTTGCGTCGCGTGGCTTCGAGGTTTGCTGGAGCCGAGCTCCTTCAATTTACTTCGTGTCGTGACTTGCCGTTTCGATGCCTTGTGGCTGTGGAAGTCACATCGCCGGCCCTTGTCGTCCAGAGGAACAATTTAGGCGCTTGATTGACTGCTGCCAGACTTGAATGAAAGCTGCGTATCAGTGCCATATTTTCTTATCTTGCGGGGGCATCGCAATACTGTATAGTACCTGAGTGCCGGCGAAAAGCGCATGGTTTCCTGCGGATAGAACAGATGTCAGAATGACAGTGTTCATGAAAGAAGCCACGACAGCTACAAAATGAAGTTCAGTTCACACAAAATTGTGTTCGCGAGAAGATAGAAAAGACATACTGAATCCAGCTTTCTCGAAGATGATAGTGAACGGGGAGGTCGTAGTACTCTTATTCGACAAGTTTGGATAATCCCAAGGCACTAGAAAGTCACCGGTGAGCTCGTGAAAGCACTGGTACAGTCTTGACAGCATTTACCATTGAGTCCAATGAGGAGAATACTCAAAACATAGAACATGAGAATTCTGTCGACGCGATCAAACCGCGTGCGTCAGATGGCTGCCTCTCCATATCGATAACTAACTCGCCTCCAGAAGACAGCTTTCACCACGCGAGGCATGTTCCTCGACGGATTCTTCGTCTCGCCGGCAGTAACGCCAAGACTTTCAGTACCACCATCTGCCATAAGTTTGAGCGATACACCGGTGATGAAAGGAAAAAAGACATACACGCAAAGCTGGCAGTGACAAACACTCGTGCAAACCCGCCGAAACCGCCGCGGAATGGAGCGCCTTCGATTCGCCAGTTGCTACCGCCGATGTATTTGTGGTCCGTGTTTACACCGACGTTTACGAGAATGCCCAGAATGATATAGACCAAGATCGTCGCCACCTTGAGGGAGGCGAGCCAGTAGCTTGAATTTGTGGGATCCATCAAGGACATGTCTGATTCACTCACCCAGTTCACCATACGCCTTTACATGTATCGCGTTCAAGCTGACTAGGAAGGCCCAGAAAATCAAACTGATGACACAAAGGTTCCATGTCGTCCAGTGGCGATACGAGCAATGGACTCACAACAACCAGGCCCTGGTCATTATATCCTCGGCTACCGCCAACAGATACTCAGATACTTCAGGCGGTGAAGCGACGGCATCCGATGGATACTGGGGCACATGAACGTGTGGGGGAATGAGGAGGTGGACGCTGAGGCGAAGAGAGCAGCTGCGGGGGAGAGCAGCAAGAGGAACTTGAGAAGGAGAACAGGGAAATGACTGACTTGATACATGCGATGTTGAGTAATTGCCTATGCGAAGGAAATGTTTCCACGCCCGGGGGATGTGCGCGCTCAAGTGTGCGATCAGCGCGGTACCCTGATCCAAGTCCGCACTTAAGTGCCTGGTTAAGCGTGCGGCCAGCGTGACACTCATCGACCCGCTTGCTTCAACAAATACTTTGTCCAGAGGATAAACTGATGGACAAAGCCAGTGCGCGATGAGCGTGGTGGCTCATCGCCTCGCTCATCGGCCGCTTACGTGCGCACTGAGCGGGGCGCTCAGTGGCACGCTTGCTTTGACGATTGATTTTTCCAAGGATAAATAAATTATTTGTTTATTGGTTCAACCTCAGATAAAGTTGATATTAGTCTGGAGATAAAGAGATGGGATAAACAAATCATCTGTTCTACAAAGAAATGGTCAGTCCAAGGACGAACCAATGATGAAAGTATTTATTTGTGTTATGCCAAAGTGGTTGCGAAATATATGTTTTGACGCTCGACAAAGAGAATACCAAACCCTTGCTTTTTCTCAGGATAAAGCGGTGATGAAACTACTTATTTTTTAATTGCTTTAACTGCGGGTTGACTTATTATTCACCAGTGATCAAACCAATTGATAAACAGACGTTACATCGAATAGTTCAACCTGAGTTAAATATGTACTCCGTCACAGGACAAACCCTGGGAAAAAATGTACATTTATCTTGATTGATTTATCTGGGGAAAAACTGATGGCCGTCCGCAGTGTCACCTATGCCGTATGGAGTGCAAGTTACAGGCTCGATGTCGCGCGGAGAGTGGGGGTGCTCACGGAGTAGTGGTAGACGGTGTGCGAAACTGTATACAGATCTGCTTTGAGTGCTAAAGGAGGAGCAAGCGGGAGAGGGGCGTACGAAAGCCTGCGTGGAGGGTTGCGAGCCCCCTGACGGCGATAGTACCAGAGGTGAGTATGTGCCGGACTGCGAAGGGATTGGACCCACCAGATCCCGCCGATCTGTAGACCACACACGTCGATTTCATATAAAACCAACCTGGTTTGAAGCATGCTCGAGTAGGGTTGCGTAGGTTGCGTACCAGTGCTTTCATATGCAGTGGGTCCCGGGGGTAGGTGATGTAGTAGACGTATGCCTGGATCGTGCAGGCATCAACGCGATAGAATCTTGTTTCCTTTAGCAACGATTACGCACCTGCAAACTCGCGATCCCATACAGCACGAGCATGACCTGGCACGCAACAAGCGAGCTTCCTGCGAGGGATAGTCCCAGAAAACAGCCTCAGTGATTGTCCGTGTACTACATCTCGAGCGAATTGCGCACCGTAGATCTCCTCGTACATCGACTGGGGCATGGGCGTGACGCGGTCGGGGAGGCCAGACATGCAGGCGGGCAACGGCAACAGGCGAGCAAGGGCGTGAGGGTGTGTGGGTCAAGGACGTGGGGCGCGGTAGTTGTTACAGTGTGTTGCATAATAAACTGGACAACGCCGGATCTGAAAACTGTTTGTTTGAGTTTGCTCGTGACATGTCACGCATCAAGCGCCGGGATATTAGTTACGGGTCCTGTAATGAAATGAAAGGAACCGTTCTTTATTTGGGTGGGGGTTTTGGGCGCTTCCTTAAGTGGACGGCTACTGTGGTAGCCGGTAGCCGGTCATCTGGAATCTCGGGATCTTGTTTAATTTTAATTGAATTTAATCTAATTTTGTATTCAATGTTAATTCAATTCAATCAGCCTTTCCTCACTTGTACACGTGGGAGAGCTTCCAAAGCTAAATGAGAGTTAGCACCGGAGATCATGTAAGTTGCCATATTAATCAATATTCAGGGGGAGCCTCAGGGGAGCCCCTCAAAACACTGCTCAGCAGTCATACTCACTGTTTCATTTATGCTCATATTGTAGACTTACACTCTGGCATGAAATATGATATTTCACATGTATCATATTAGCTTTGTAATATCAGTAGTGTAATAGAGTGTCAAGAGTGTCAACAAATTGTCAACAATGGCAATTTCAGATGAACATGGTTGATCAGTACATGTGGATGAGTCTGATAATATATGTTTCATAACTAACTAGCAGAGATATGCACATCTGTAGAGTGGATAACTAGTTTTACATGACAAGTGTAGTAGTTATTCCCAGGAATATGTTTGAATTGGTATTTCAAGTAATTAGATCAATCACTGTCTTACTATACAGTAGAATAGCATCTAAATCCTGGAGTAGCTGGAGGCAAAAAAGCAGCACTGTACATTTACAAGAGTCCACTGTTATTGAATGGAGAAAGAGTATATGAATATGAGTTCTCAGCAATTTGAGTAATGTTTTTGAATCTCCTATACTCTGTATATGTTATAGGCGCATCCAGGAGGCCCCTTAGAAGCTACTAGGGGTGTATTCACGTGCACTCTGGCTATGGGCTCAGGCCGTGTATACTCGCGGATACTCGGACTTCTTGGATTATGGACTAAATACATATTTGAGCACACTGTACTTATTATGACTGGACTACTAGCTGTCTCATGAACACGCGGCTACTGTGTGTTCCTCAGTATATAGTCTTGTACTGTACCTACAGTTACCTCAGTTCGAATATTAGTTCCTTTCTGCACTCACATCCTCGCCTCTCTACTGAGGCCTCTCCCTCGCATCCCCCGCCTCCACTTGTACCTTCGGTACCTGCGTAGGATCCCCTCTGGAAATACAGGGCACACAAGAGTGTGGGAGGTGCAGCCAGTAGCTGAAGCCAAGCCTGTACGTCCTCACCTCTATGTGGAACCGCACACCTGCAGGTCTGTGTATTCCCGAGTCCCTCTGGGAGCGTGGCTCTAAACACAGACCTGAAGTCTGTTATATGTTAATGCTTACCACTATCCTTTCTGCAATTGCCTACACTGCAGCTTACAACTTATACTGGGCTTAAAGTTTCCATCTGTTATCTCCTTCTTTAGTGCAGACATTATCTCCATCTCCTATCTGACACAATGGCTATCTATTTTGCTAAGTACTATTTATGAATCAATAGGACCCGTACAGGCCATGCATTGCAGTGGCTACAGCCCCAAGTAGTGATATCACTGTATCAGCTCGTACTCGTTATGGCACCTCACTTATCGAAAGATCTGCGTGAACACATTCTCGTTTGGCGGTATGAGCAGAAGAAAGAGGTGGAAGAAATAGCGCAGCTTGCTGGGTGCTCCAGAAGCACGGTTTATTCCGTCCTCCAACTTGATCGAGATTATGGCATCGTCAGTAACCCATTCGCGCGCCAGAGAGGACGCCATCGTTCCCTCGATATCAACGATTTGAACTACATATCCTCGCTTCTCGAAGCAAATCCTGCAATATATCTTGACAAGCTACAGGAACACCTTTCGACATACCGCGATATCGATGTTTCGCTGGCGACGTAGCCTTCAGAGCGGATGGCTAAGGACTTGTGTGTGTTCGCAGCCGTCGCTGTTGAGCCCATTCATGGCGGCGACATCGAAAGGCAAATCAGGTAAGCGCCGGGGGAGCGTGATGATCCTGTCACAATCAAGCAAGAACAAACACATTTTCACGGGCGATCAGTCCAGTTTATTATGCAACGCACTGTAGCCAATTTCAGCACGAATATGTATTTCGATCACATTATGCTGTCATTTCCGCAGGACAGTCGACGCCTCTGCAGGGGCGCAGCATCCTCGTCGGCGATAGCGACGTCGCAATGAATTACACTGAATTACACGGGGGAAACGGACGTGGAGCGTGTAATCCAACCAGATGTTCGCTACCGGGGACTACGTGCTTCTTCAAAGTTCACTGGTACACTGGTACTCTGCACATGCTACACGATGACTAGGGGATCTCTTAACACTGTCTATGGCGTTGTGCAATGGCAGAATCCCCGGGGCGCATCTCCACAGCTTACGCCCTCGACGGCCTCAGCGCTGACCAATGACCATCCCCGTTTGTAGACCATGCAGGTCGTGTGCTCGTAAAGGGGATTGACCTTGCAGAGACTGCGTCTGATGCGGAAAAGGGGACCAGTGTACCCATCGACGAAGTCAGGACACATCTGTTTCTGATACCGGAGGTGGGAACGACAGTCTCCCCGCCTGTTTCACATCATACTCATCTGTGTAGATGAGACCACAGACGCATCGCAGCGCTTCACCGTCCATCTCTCCCATTGACACACACCAACCGAACCCATTCACTACCCGCCACAGCTGGCCTTAAACCCGGTCATGGACATGTACGCGCGAGTCACGACCCGCACGCAGCGTATCTACACTATCCTGTAGTTCATCATTCTCAGGCTCAGGCTTTCGGTTCTATGATGCCACCCCCAGATGCGCCGCCTGGCTCACAGCATCCAATGGGTGGCTGAACTTATGTTTATTTAGATAATGTACATAATGTACGTACACTTGTTGCACCGTACACGACCATATGACCATATCTGAATTGTTTTGTAGGGCCTTATCGCAGCACTGTTGTACATATAATATCCTAAACTTAGTATCTTTGGCTCCACTTCCAAGTCGCTTTGCACGGACATCTCGTCGATTGTATTCATTATTCGTAGTTGGTAATGAATGGCCCCTATTACGCGCCACTTTGCTGTTATTTGTGCATGCTTGGATGTAGTGGCATTGTCCCCCAGATGAACTGCTCCCGCTTTTGTTCTCAGCACATCTAACCACTAAGTTTACTGGCCGCGCTCTGATTACTTCCTCCTCCTCATACTCCTCTTCTCTCACTCCTTCCGCAAGCTCAGCATGCACTCATCATCCCCAGAAAGGTTTGCCTCATGGTTGAACTATGAAATCATATCTAACTCCTGTGTGAAAGATCATCAGTTAAGATTACCTACGCCGCCGGCAAGTCAAAGGTTGGCGACGCATGATCATGGATGGACCGGAATCTCATGTCGGTCCTTTCATAGCGACAAAGGCCATTTGCTCATGACTCTATGTATGTGGTACATTCTGTCAGTCAGTCGTGTTTGCGTCCGTGTATGTACCTTGTGTCCTTGTGTTTGGTAGATCACCAGCACCGAACACCACCCACGATCGAGCAGAAGCCTATGTCGCGTCACAGGATGCAACCAAGAGAGAAAAGCTTCCGTCATCGTCGGTAAGTGATCTCCTCTTCTTATGAAGGCCTTGTGCGCTGATAGTTCCACATGCGATCGACATGTAGAAGAAGAAGTCTGCAATGAAGCGTCGGACCTCGTAAGCGTTCTTTTAGTGCGGGAGGTGGCGCTTACTTCCCTCTGGAAAAGGACGGTTCCCAAAGGGGGGGGCCGGACGGTCCCACGCCCTGGGTCCGGCCCTGGACCCTGAGACCCTTTGATCCGGCCCCCTGCACCCTCGTGCCACGATCGCTGACGTCGTTTCTGATCGTTTCCAGGCCGTTCCCTGCAGCTCCCGACGGAACGGGCGCGCAGGGCCCTGCGCTTGGCGCCGTCGGGGTTGCTGATGCGCTGCTGGCGCGCTCCCTCCCCTTCCTTTTCCTCCTTCTCTCTCTCACCCTCCTCCCCGCCCTTTCCATTCTCGCTCTCGGCCTCCTCCGACCCTGCGCACCCATCAAGATGGACGACAACGGCTCGGGAATGGACGTAGACGCGCCGGATGGGCCGATCCCAACTGGGCAGGTCGTTCCCACGGTCCCAGAACCTTCGGATTCCATGCTACCGTTTCCGGGAAAGCCCATGCCCGATGGGGAATTCACCACTGTGTACCTTGATGTGTGAGTGTGGTGTGGGCCATGGCCGGGAGTGCTACAGCTCACAGCTCCCTCCCCAGCAACCAGAGGAATGCTGTCCTGCAGCAATGGTGTGCTGGCTTTGGCCTGCCCAAGAGTGGGAACAAGGCAGAGATGGTCGCTCGTCTCCGTGCATTCAGTGGTGACTCCAGCCGCTGGGACAGGTGAGTGCCCAACCCAATCCCCTCTGGAACAAGGTGCTGACTGCCTCCAACACTCTCCAGCCTCCGTGTTGGTGCTACCAAGGCCCATCGTAACCCCAGTGGGATCACCAAGGCCCGTTCGAAGCCCAAGCAGTCCACTCTTCGCCGTAACAGGCTTTTCGAAGAGGCGGGCTCCTCCTCACGCTTGCTCTCTGTCTTGCCAACAGATGACGCATTTGACAACCGGACCATGGAGGAGAAGAACAGCATCCTGGCTTGGGTGAGTGACATGCTGGTCTTGTCTCTCTCATCCCCCCTTGACCGCATGGCAGGCCAAACGGTTCAAGGCGAAAAACCCTTACCATCCTCCTGATCATCCACTCAGGCAGGTGACAAGGGTTGGGCACAGTGCTTCTGCTCCATCTCTGCCCTCCTCCAGTGGTGCTATTGTCCATGTACGTGTTCACCCCTGCTAGCTGTCCAGTCCAGAGCCTGATCTGTTATTTCAGGAGGATATCCAGCATATCAAAGACTCCCTTGCGCTTGTCACCAGCCGTCTGAACCTCCTACCATCTTCGTCTCCCTCCTCCTCTCCAACCACCCACTCCTCCTCTCCTTCTACTCCATTGCCTGTTCTTCCCACCGCCTCTGGTACACCAGCGCTCTTGAAATCGTTCACCTTGACTCTTGGAAACGGCTCCCGCTTGTCATTCACCGTCCTCGATGTTCCTGAACCACCTTTTCTTTCCTTCGCTAAGGATCTCGAGAGCCTTCCCCCCATCTGGTCAGATATGTCGCCCCTCTGGGAACCAAGCAAGGCCCCCTTCAGCATCCACGGACACCCAATCGCACTGGTACATTGGAGAGAGCTCTATCACTGCAAGCCTCAGCAGTGGAACGGGTTGAAGAAGCGTTGGCATGAACGCAAGGTGAGTACTCATGTACTGTTGCTTGTGACAGATGAGTGACAGATACACGTCAGATGATTGCAGAGCATTGGTTGGGGACGACTCCCACCTTGTTCTGGGCAGAGTTCACCAACCCGAAGGGTGAACGCCTCAGCTACACTGCCATTCTCAGTGAATTGCAGAGGCGCAGCAAGAAGCGGAACACCCAGGCTGCTGAGGCTGCTCATGCACGGTATGGCTCCAACTTTTCTGATCAGTTCACATATGAGAAGCATGGGAAGACTCATGTGCTTAGCCAACCGTCTGCTATTGCAAAGCACTTTCGTAACATGGAGTAGACATTCAGTACTATAAATGTAGCCATCTTATCATATCTACAATTAATCTAATCAGTATGCACATTGGCAACTTCTTCCACAGGATGGGCACTTCAGAGAGGGTGGCCTCTCTAAGTTGAGAAAGTCCTCCCTCTTTTCTCCAGGCTCATCATTCCAGGAGATGAGATACTTGACTATAGTCAAGTGAGTGAAATCAGTGCTCCATCCTCCCCAGTCACAGAGCCGACGCAGGCTCCACCGGAGGTCACCATGCAGAAACTGACATCCACCACAACGGAAGGAGTGGGTTCCATATGGGTATGGATCCAACCGGATGTCCAAGAGACTGTTCCGGAAGAGCTCCAAGAACTGCTCGCTTGTCTAAATGATATGAGCATGAAGGTTGAGGTCATGTAACACAGAGGGCTCACCATGGCAACGTCTGTGGTGGAGAAGCGGTCACCAGATAGCATCTTTCGAAAGACATATCCACTGGAGAGCTGTGACGCCAGAATCCAGTCACACAATGCACGAACTGGGCAGAGATGCTGGAAATAGTCGGGAAGGCGGTGCAAGACAAAGGGCTTGATGTCTGTCAGGTAGTCGGCAATCAGATAGAAGGGAGAAGGGTTCTGAAAGGACTCACCGCCATTCTGACTGGTCTTCCGAAATGGAAGAGTCAGAACAATCAGGTTTTCGTCATGAGTGTCCCATTTGAGATGAGAGAACTTGATCTTCAGGACTTCGTCGACACGTAGCAAGCATAGATATGCAATGGTGAATGCGGCAAAGAGAAGTCAACGGGTGTTCCCACCAGCCCATGGCACTTCCTCCTCTGGGTCTGCTGCATTCTTGCGCTTACCTGGAGAGTATTGTTTGATCTCCCAGTTTTCAGGACGGTGATTAAAATCGTAAAGGTCCCTTAAGATGTCCTGCATGTTGGTAGGAAGTGAATACTTGAAAACTAGACGGTTAAAAAAATCTCACCTGGGTGATAGCACGTGCACTAGTTGCTGTCTCCCCAGCATGAACCTTTTGAACAAGGTCAGAGCTGTGAATCAAAGTCTGGTGCAGTCTATCATGCTCACCTTTCGTCGACGCAAGCTGAGCATGTAAGCTGATACCTGATTCGATATTGAAGGGTTCCCTTGCATTGTTCCATCATCCCTCTCATGCCATGCAAGAGAGCCTAGGCCATGGACACGCCCAAATGCATATGTCATGGCAGCTCGCATCTTCTGCGCGTGAGAGTATGAGCTACGTGTATCCGTTGACAGCTTTGGAGAGGCGTCAAGACGGATCACGTCACATCTAGAGCCATGATTGAGTCAGCAAACAGTGAGGGGCATACAGATTGGCTTACGCATCCATGATCCAGGCAATTATCCACAGTGGGGTATCTCGGTGAGGTGCCTTGCTGAAGACCTCCCCATCTGCACGAACAAACTTCTTCTCAATTGCAAACTTCTTGCACTGAGCCATTAAGCTGGGCAGCACCAGGTCATCCTCTAAGATGAGGAAGAGGTTCAGATAACATACCGCTCATAGTGTGCAGCAGTCCCTTCAGTAACGCCCTTTGAAGCACCCAAGATCACATCTCGAAGCTCTGTTCCCAACCCCTGACCATCCAAAGCCAACTGCTGGTCTCCTGGAAAGGACTCCTGCTCACCATCCATCTCATCTTCAATCTGGATCTCATCTGAAGATGATAAATGGCTGAGAGCTTGCTGAATGCCAGGGTAGAGGTTCACTGAAGTGGTGCTCATGGTGGTCAAGAAGAAAGGGGGCTTGAGGCAGTGCTCATCAGTCTACCTTTGACTAGTGTGCTCAGGAATCAAGTAGCAAGCCAATGTATCAGATAGAGTGTAGATAGAGTGGCATTGGATCAATATAAACTTCTACACAACCATCTACACTTGTACAAGTTTCTAGAGGGGAGGGGGGGAGATGGGGAAGTATTTCGATGCTGAGGGAATGGATCCGCAAGCGATTCGCAGAGGGACAGTGTGTCCATGTCCTGGACATATATGCAGTTAAGAACGAGCCCAAGATCAAGCAGAACGATGGAGAACTCACTGAGATATGACACCCTCTCCTGAGGGGTCTCTGGGGGAAGTATCTCGATGAGGGGCCCTCGACTCGCAGCCAGCCGGTACGCACTAAGCGGTCCCATGTACAGGGCCTAAATGCGATGGGGAACGCGCTATAGATCATCCAAATCAGCGGTGAACTCACTGAGATATGCTCCCTCCTCCTGAAGGGCACCATGAGGCAGTATCTCGTCGTTGGGGAGGACGATTCGCAAGCGGCCTGTTCGCAAGCGGTGGGCCCATGTTGTGGAGCCATAGGCGAGTAAGAACGAGCCCAAGAACAGGATATAAGGTGAAGAACTCACCGAGATATGATCTCCCCACCTCGTGGTGGTTTGGCACCACTGCAGCGCCTGCAGGGAGGGCAAACAACGGCGAATGGCTTAGGCGTTTGAGCGGACGTCTAGAGCTGGTGCTGGAGTGTCAGAACGAGCCCGGAACCGTCTTGAACGATGGAGAACTCACCAAGATATGGCATCTCTTTTGCCATGTCCCCCTGGATGGGCAGAGTCAGCTGGTTGGGGGCCCACATGACCACTGGACGCGTTGAGGGCCTCCCCATGGATATGTGTGCTGAGGGAGCCAATGAGACGCGTCAAAACGCGCCCAAGCGGACGCAATTTGAGGGGATAACGGGGGAGACTGGTAGGGGGAGGAGGAGAGGTGCTGAGGTGCGGGAGTCGGTCGCTATCGAGCCCTGGGCCCTGCTGCATGACACCGGGGGCAAAGTCAAAGGCACGCTCACCGGACGTGCCTTTAAAGCAGCATTCATGTACCACCGATCATAGTACATAGGAACCTGATTACATAATGATACTTGTTTCGCTTGTTATCAAGTCAATCAGTGATCACAGTACAATAACTTTTAAACAGACACACTCAACATCAAGTCATGGGCACAGTGATTTGTGTCTGCTCAGAGTGCTCAAAGTGCACCCACCGGGATTCTAATGGTCACCAACTATTTGGACGCCATGTCAGTTATCAAACTCGTCGAGATCATGAAAAGCGAGATGAAAGACATCAGCTTCGGCGACCTCGATCGGCTACACCATCCCGTGATCATCATCATCCATACTCATTTGAAGGTCACTCAACAAATGCCAATGTGGGCTCTCGCATTGGCAATAAGATAGATTTAGTTACAGGTGAGCCATTCAGGCCAATAACCTCAGATCAGACTAAACTAAACATCTAATCTTATGGAACCTCAATAGTGATCACCCCAGTTTTTAAGCTGGTGGCTCTGATTGTTGCATGGTGCAGTCTCCGGGCAAGAGTTAGCCGTGATGCGGCAAATACAATCTTGAAATCATTCAAGTTTGTCTTGACTGTCATCCTGCAACTTCTCCATGTTGCTCTGCAGTCTGCTGGAGTAGTACTTGAACCACTTCGGAATCTTGATATTCCTTCTGATATCTGCACCATCTATGTTCAAGCTGGACTTGACATTGATATCATTCGGATTACCTGCTGCCCAAAATGCTTCAAACAATATCCATCTAGTGGCCCCATTCCACATTATTGTACTTGGAAGCGCTCTCCACGGTCTCGAGCTTGCAATGAAGAGCTATATACTTACCAAGAGCTCAAGGATGGGCCAAAGCGCACCCCTCGGTGCCTATATACCACCCAATCACTTCAATCGTGGATCACTGTGTTGCTCTCTCGGTCTGGGATTGACAGAGCATTGCACGCTTCATTTGCACAGTTCCAGGCCAACCTTCCCCATGATAGAATGCGGGATATCCAGGATAGTCCAGCCTGGCAATCACTTCGCAATTTTCTCCAGTCTCCATACCACCTAATATTTGGAATGTATGTGGACTGGTTCAACCCGTTTACAAACAAGATTGCTGGTATGTGTTTCTCTCACTTTATGCACCGTTCTGAGTTTGATTTCAGATTAGGCAAGGTTGCTTCATGTGGTGCAATTGTTTTATATTGCTTGAGCCTTCCATTGGAAATCCGGTTCCTTCCTGAGAATGTCTACATTCTTGGAATAATGCCTGGGCCACATGCACCAGATACATGGACTATCTCCCATGTTCTGGAGACTGTTCAGACCACAATTATGGAGTTTGACCTTCCTGGGAAGCTTCTTCCAACATACAGCTATCCTAATGGTGCCAGTGTTGCTGCCAGGATTATCCCACTCATTGCTGATCTACAAGCAATAAAAAAGGTTGCAGGTTACCTCTCCCATTCAGCACATCAATTCTGCACTTTTTGCAAACTTGCTCATGCAGATATTGAGGATTCAAATTACAGAGACTGGGAACTCCGTAGTGGCACAGAGGTACATCAGCAGGCCATGAACTGGAAGAACACAGTCACAGTTACAGATAAGCATAAACTAGCTCAAGAGACTGGGGTTCGATGGACTCCCATGCATGATCTTCCATATTGGAATCCAGTTAAACATGTTACACTTGGGTTCATGCACAATTTTCTTGAAGGTATTCTCCAGTATCAATTGCGTGTTCTTTGGGGGATCGGTCGGACGAAAGCATCCATGAAGGCTTTAATTGGTGGAATTGAGGATGATGCAGCTACAGAAACATCAGAGGACAATCAGGATGCTAGCACCAAGGATGATACAAATAGTCAGCATGGAAGTACAGCAGGTCTTACAGATGACTTCAATAGAATGGATGTTGATGATTATGCAATGGACCTGTTCCCTGCAGATGTACAGGATGATGATGACCATACTCCAACCACTGCTTCCTTTCCCCCCTGTCTACACCCTGATCTTCAGGACACACCTGACTCTGACGATGATTCTGAAGTGGAGACTGGATCATTTGATATTTATACCATACCCTCAAACCAACTTGAAGCCATTAGAGGTTGTATACATGATGTTTTATTACCTACATGGGTCCAACACCCACCATCAAATCTTGGTGATGCAAGCCATGGTAAACTCAAGGCTCATGAACTGCTTGTCCTCTTTTCTGTTATTTTCCCTCTGGTGCTCCCAGAGCTCTGGTGGGCAGTAGGAGAACATGAAGAAAAGTTACTGGAAAGTTTCTGCCATTTGATTCAGTCAACCAATATTATCGCATCTTACTCTGTCACCCCCACTGAAGCGGACATGTATACAAGTCACTATACTAGATATAGAGCATCTCTTCATGAGTTATATCCTGGGTTTTCATCTGTTCCAAACCATCACTATGCAATGCACAATGGGGATCTTCTGAAATTTTGGGGCCCACTGTCAGTCTTAAGTGAGTTTCCAGGAGAGCGGATGAATGGTGATTTAGGTCAGATTAATACAAATCGGAAACTTGGTATGTTTGTCTTCCTTGACTTGCATTTATACTGTTTATTAACCACATCAATTGATAGGCTGTATGGAATTAACCATGTTACGTCAGACAAGCCGTGAAGCACGGTTGCGAGCCTCTCTTCAAGATAATCAAGTTATTGGTGACAATCTCGGTACCTTGGCAAGAATTCTTGAACCCAAAAATGCCTTTGGGTTTATGAACTCAGCAACACCAATGACTGGAAAAGAGCTAGCTGAGGCTTACAAAAGCGGGCAAATGCTTAGTGACCTCCATTACAAGCTCCTTCTGCAGTACATCAATGCTACAGGAAGAATGTATTTATCTGCATATGCTCCTAGTCTTCATACAGTTGGTGGAACTCCTATTCTTCCAATTTCTGCTAAACAACCCCGACAACACACAATTGAAGACCGCACATACAGCCTCATATCCAGCCATGAAGGAAACAGCCATATTATGTTCTATGTTCCAGGCAATGTCACAAACATGCGTGAAACTGGCTATATTGAAGCAATATGGGAGATGCCTCTTGATGGACTCTGGCAAACTTTTTTTCTAGTCCGGCAACATCAATCACTTTCGCCAACTCAATTGCGCAAAGTGCCTTATTTTTCCCAACCAACCTCATATTTACAGACCAAGGTTGTAAAGAGTGAACCATCCAATTTGATCTTTATTATAGAGCCTCAGCACATTGTATCCCATGTTGCCATTTACAAGCGACCTCGAGGAACATATGGCGTCAATAGGGATATAATGGCTGTTTGTTGGGCATTAAATCGAGGTCGTAAATAGTATAGATAGATCATTATGATTCTACAAGCTATATACTATTGTCCCAATCCAGTGGTAAATGGAATTAAATAAGTAAAGAATTTGCTATACAGCTAATCTGCATTGTCCCCATTGAACTATGGTAAGTATGTAGAAAAGAAAAGAAAAGATTGGAATCAATCAGCCCCGTCAATACCCTCCATCATCTGACCAGATAGACCAGCAGTGGATGAGCTCTCTCCACCAGACAGGCCCCTACCTTGTGCATCCGATGGATTAGCACTAGTACCAGCACCACTAGAACTTGAAGGCTCTGGGTTACCTCTATCCTCCATCGCTGCCATTTCGACCTCAGTCGGCAGATTGTACTGAGCCTTTACCTTGTTTCCATACCTTGCCATGAAATCAGCATCAGAAAGGTCTTTCCATGCCTTCCATTCACCGATATTGTCAGATAGATCACCAGCGAGGGGTAGGGCAATAGGCGCATCGATGTAGTAGGCACGGTACATCACGTTGAGGCTGTTGAAGTATTCCGGAGCGAACCAGTCAAGCGGGCAACCCAGAGGGAGGCGACGTGAGATGGGGCTCTTAGCTATGGGATTGTCGTGCTCCTTGCGAGGTTCGGGTTTGGCGCCTCGCTGATGTCGGAATATCGGTGTTCCGTTAATACGCGCAGAGTCTGTCAGCCGCAAGAACCTGGTTACGTTGGAATTTCGGCCGGTCTTTGGAAAGATTTGGAAGCCAATACCAACAGGCTTGCGTTCGTCATCAGACGTACACTCAGGTTCACTGGCTAAAGCCTGAACTCGATCAGGATATGTATTGTTGGACAACCAGACCGCCCGCTTCTGCGTAAGCTATAAGAACAATATTAGTCTCATAAATTGCACTCTCTGATGTCAAATCACATACCCTATCACACCGCCTATACGCCTCTCTTAGCTTGCTAGCCTTGGCGACACTACCTGCTTCTTTCGCCTCTTTCAGAACCAGGTCCCGTAGATGAGACCACACGAAGTTGAGATATATGTCATGTAGAAGTTGAGCATCCCGGACGCAGTCGATATTGATGCCCATGTGGTTGTACCCATGTGATACAGCAATGTGCTCGAACGTCGATATCGCAATTGACTGAAGCGCGGCGTTGTAATGAGACGTTGGAGTGCTATAGAAATCTGGACGCCATGCCGTGATTCCGAAGGAATGGAGAATGGCAAAGGTCTGTCGTATGAAGTGATCTGGAATGCGAGCGATATTGAGCGTAGTGTTAGACGACTCCGTAACTTGACGGCGACGGACATCACGTAAGGCATCGTCAACGGCTTGGCTATGTCCACGAAATGTTCGAGCTTTATGCAAAGCAGCGGTAAGATCGTTGGAATCGGCCCAAAGACGGTCAAACATGGCTTTCTGGTACTCCGTGGGGGCTTCAGGCACGGAGTCGCTGACAAGAGTGAGCGAGATAAGCCGGATGTGGGTTTCAAACGCTGCCTTGAACAGGTCTCAGATGCCATGTGTGGGACTACAAATTGCAAACATACCTTCATCCTAGTCGCATCCTCCGGGATCTCCCATTTCTTCAGATGGTATTGCTTCCTAGCCGCCGTTCTTGATTTTGGCTTCGTTGAGCTTGTCTCAGCCATGGGGCCTTTACGTCGTCGCTTGGAAGCTTGACTCGGAGCCGGTGGAGGTGTCGTAGGTCGGTCGTCTCGCCTCTTCCCCTTCCTAGAGGCAGAGGGTTGTTCACCTTGATCAACTGGCATTGTAAGGCTATGAACGAAGTTGGAAAAGAACAAAGGACTTACGCCACGCGAGATTCACTCGTGTTCATGAATGCGGCGACGCGACGCGGTGTTAGGATCCAACAGCAAGCACAAACACGGCTAGAACACGGGGCTTAGTGCTGGCACATACACCGTGCTTTAAAGGCACGTCCGGTGAGTGTGCCCTTGACTTTGCCCCCGGTGTGAGTCAGCGGCGCCAAGTGAGCAGAGAGGGTGTGACGCGGTCATGTGGGAGTGACAAACTGTCCGGGGACTGTCCTTTTTGCATGAAGGACAGAGTAGGGGACGACTTTGGGGGGAAGCCTCTGCCAAATTGCGCAGAGATCCGGGGGAGCCGAAATCCGCTCCTGGGCGAAAAAAGGACGGTCCTGTAACGCAACCGGACAGTCCTGTCACGCAAGGGTAGAAGGGCACTTACGGTTCCATACACCCAAGGCCGTCTGTGGGCGCGCTTCCCATGTTGGAGCTTCAGCCTCGCCGTTTTGTGCTTCTTGCCCCATTTGGACAAGTGTCCCGATTTGTGTGTGCCTGCGGCGCCTGGATTCACGTCCCACACCCTTTCACAATTCCCATCACCATCACCTGGCACATCTTGACCTCCTCCCTCCTCCCTGCTCTCACTGCTCAGCTGCACACCTCAAGGACTCATGATGGATTTCAGGTGAGTCGTACTCCATTCCAGTCTCAGTCTACTGTACATCTGGGATGGGAGATGGGATGGGGAGCCCCAGGGAAGGAGGAGGGCAGTGGGCGCGCCTCGAGGCCACTTACGTCCCAGTTGGCGCTGATGGCTGTGGCCGGCAACTCGGCTCCTGATCGTTTGATCAGCCGGAGCGTCGGGACGGCCTGGGCCCTCAGGGACGGTCCATGTGATGGGTGACGGTCACCCGTCACGGACCGTCCTTTTCGTCGGTCGAAGCTTCACTTCATAACACTTTGTTACTCTAGTCTCTCACAATCCCCCAAGGCGCAACGCCCTCCACCCCAGAGTCCCAAGGACGCGAAGGAAATGCCGCCACCTACCGAACTACTGAATTCCCCGCATTCCCGCAAATTATCTACATCCTCTCTTAACCGAACTTCTTGTCCCCCAAGATCATCTTCTCGCGCCCCCATCTCCGAAGTAATAACCCCAAAGAGTCCGCTTGTGTCCAAGTGCGTAGATGATGATTACTTTGATTGTCCCGCGTTGACAGTATCTAGTACCGATGCCTCTGGGGCTGATGACGATCGAACATCCGCGGGCCAGTCCTCAGTCGGGGAATCCTTGAAGCCCCTACGGAAGCGGTATGAACCCGAACGCATTGCCTATTTGAAGGATCAACCCACATATGCACCGGTCTCTCCTCATAAAGCCTTGTGCACGAAGTGCGGCAAGGTCATATCTCTTGGCACAAATCAAACATACGTGATCCGTCCATGGGTAACCCATCGCACTTCTTGCGATGGAGATGACTATAAAGAGGGCGATGACAGGGATGATGCTGGATTTCCTCCCCCTGCCCCACCCCCGTCACAACCCAAGAAAAACGTGGATGAAAGAAAGGCCACGTTAGAGGCTGACCCCCGGGCTGCCGAGGTTCGAGCAGAGACTGTACTTTGTAAAAAGTGTAACAAGTGGATAAAGTTGACCAAGGGGCGCCAGTATGTTCTCACACATTGGAACGAACATCAATCACGTTGCGACATGCAGTATGTATTCTGTGTTATGGGAATGTCAAATACTTTCTTATACCATTTTTCCAGACCAAGCGAAGTCACCGCTGCTGAGCACAAACTCCAGCTAGTGAATGACCCCCAGGTGAAATATTTTACCAGAGAATTGGTTCAATGCGCGACCTGTGGCATCGCGGTCCATTTGCAGGGCGTCGAGTACGATCTAACGGAATGGATAAAACATAAGGGACTGAATTGTGGAAATCGTCCGAGGTATATTGCGTATTTATTGAATTTTGATGATTCCGTTTCTCAATATTTCGCTTAGTGATAATGGTGAAGATGCAGGCTCCCTCGATCAACAAAAGACACTTCCATTCCCATCCACGCGACCTCCACCTTTGTCATCCTCTACCAACGGCACGGTAATTGCCATTGGCCCTAGCTCTGTACCTTGTGAACTCTCCTCCACTCATGGAGTCAAGCGGGCGCGTGAGGAGGAAGAAGAAGAAGCTGAGCGCTCCGACAATGAACAAATGAACATTAATGAACAGCCAGATCGTCGGCCCTCGAACCGACAAAGAGACGATGAATATGCTCACGAAGAGTGGGAGCCGCCCAGTGTATTGGGGTGGTTTATGCTGCTGTTTGCTGCCTATGTACGTGGGTTCCGCGAAAGTTTGGGGTCTAGAAATACCTAATTAATGCACCTTGCTTTGTATATACCATCTGCACGCTTGATACTGATACTCTTTTGTATATATGAACTTGCTCCTCCTTATCTCGAAGGCTCATGCAGCCCTAGCCTTACGGGGTTCTTTGGTGCAGATTGTCGAGATTTGCTTCCACCCCTATTCCCAATTGTATTGGATCGCGGGATTTAGATACTGTAAGGGTTGAACCCTTTCGTTCCGTGCAGTCCGACCTCCCCTATCCCCTATCGACCCCTCTCCGACTCTTCGGACACGCTCGCACATGACTCGGACGTCACGAACCCGTACCGGACACACGTGATAACGGATCAGACAGCTCGGATCAATCCTTCGTATATCTTTTGTTCTCGGACTCTAATACTTGGACTATACTAGCACCATTATTCGTTCCTGGTGCCTTTTCGTCTCGGACTTTTCCTTCATCTGACATTTCTCTTAGCTACAAAAGCCTCCTGTACTCGTAGTTAGAAGAATCAGATTTGTTCCCCCCCACATCGAGTCAGAATCTAAGTCGTCCGAGAAGCTTTCCTCCTCCGTTGTCAGAGTTCGCCGTCGCCCGAGTCCGAGTCCGATCCGAAGCCAGTTCTCCTGCCATCCTTATCATTCTCCAGCCGTCCTCATCTTACTATCCGAAGCCGAAGTTGTTTGCTCCGCGTCCGAGCGCGTCCGAAGCTATCCGAAGCCATCCGAAGCATCCGAAGTTTCCTAGTAGTTGTTTTCACTCTCGGACTCATCGTTTACCACACTTAGTTCATTCGGGTGTCGCACGGACTTGTCCTGCCGGAGGCGGACCCTCGCATTTCATTTGACTATACTACTAGTCTACGTGTATATTCACTACTACATTCTGGAGCCCACCGCGAGGGTTTAAAGTTCAAGACACCCCCCCCGTTCCACCGTCACCTAATCATCCTATTCCGTCATTGAATTCGAATCCCCTCCCGATCCTCTGCACGATATCTTTCCGGAAGGTCCGACGCAACGGGCTATCAACTACCTCTTCCGGAAGACATCCGAATATTTTCCGTTCAAAATAGTCCGCTCTTGGGTTCCCGATCCCAACACCGTCATTTGGCAGTTCGCACTTACCGGACGCCCAGAATCCGAGCATCCGAACATCCTATCACGCCCTAATCCACCATCCCTCCGGCACAGTCTGTTCTATAATCCCGCCGCGGCTTACCACCGACCCACCCCGGAGTCAAACGACACTACCTCCGGAACACCTTCATCGCTCACCGAGTCGTCCGAGAATCTTCCGCCCACTTCTTCACCCTCTCCTATTCCTCCGCCCACAATGGCCACAACTATGCCCGTCCGCGGTCACCATACTGCTCCGAAATTCAACGGAAAGCCCGAAGGACTCCATCGCTTCTTCTCCGAAGTGGAGTACCTCGCTGCCCGTGCTCAGGTCGAAGGCCGGGATCTCATCCGAGCTACAATCGGATATCTCGACGACTCCGACTGGGAAATCTGGCGCAGCAGTGGCGATGCAGCCGACGGAGACGACTGGGAAGCTTTCAAAACATGTATCGGGAAGCTCTACCCCGGATCGGATAACGAACGACGATGGCGTCCGTCGGATCTGTCCACTATTGCTGCTCTCCAGTCCCAGACCCCGATGCTCACAAAGGACGATCTCGGAGTCTATCACCGAAAGTTCCTCGTTCCGGCCAATTGGCTTCTCTCCAAAAATAGCGTCTCCACCCAGGACGTCGGACGAGACTACCTCGCAGGATTCGATCCGATCACTCGTCAGAAAATCAAGGACAGATTAGCGATGGTCCACATGCAGCATCATCCGGACGATCCTTACACGATCACGGAGATCTATACGGAAGCGAACTTCATTCTCGGGACGTCGACTCCGGCGACTCTCACAACGTCTTCGACATCTCCGACAGTGAGTCCGACGGCTCCGGTTACGGTCAAAACCGAATCCGCTGACATCCGTGCCCTGCAAGCTATGATGCAGCAGTTCATGACCATTCAGCAAACGCATCCGCAGTATCCTCCTCCTCCTCCGCAATATCCGTATAATCCGAACTCATTCTATCCGTATCCCCCGCCTCCGACCGCTCAAGCATACGCTTATCAACCCGTCCCTCCCCAACAAAGCTATCAGTATCCGCCTCAGCCACCCCCGTCCTCCCAGAATCAACAATCACGTCCTCCTGCCCCTCCTGCACCACAAGGGACTGATCCGAGACCTCCCCGGAAGTGTCACTTCTGTCATTCCGTCTACCACACGATGGGCTCGTGTCCGGATGCGGCCCGATATGAACGGAGCGGGTGGATCGGTCGGAACGAAGAAGGCCGATGGATGGTGCTCCCGACCAGAGAGACTATCAATCGTTCCTTCCCCGGAGACTCGTTCAAAGAGCAGATCGACAACTGGATGAGAGCCAACAATAGACCTCAGGATCGCGATGCCCCTCCTCACCCGATCGTCACCCCAGCAGCCACAAGTTCTGGAGTAGCGTCCGCGAATATGGTCGAGGTTAGCACCTACCACTATACGGAGGCCGACGAGTCCGAGTCTCGGGCGTTCATCGAAGAGCTTCCGAGCCCGTTTGATCTGGAGGAAGAAGAGAAAGAGGAGATCTTCTTGCAGGTTCTCATGCAGCGGATGCCCGACGTAGCGAAAAAGTACGCTTCATCTCAGAAGAAGAAGGATGTCCGTTTCTCCGAACCAGTCGAAACGACTCCGAGCGCTCCGGCAAAGGCTCCGTCCGAACCACCCCTTCCTCCTTCGATTCCGGTCCCCTTCCCTTCCACTTCGGCCCGTTCTCAGCTAGCTGAAGCCATCGAGACCGGTCGCACGACGTACCGTCCGAACTATCAGGTCCAGTCGAACATCGAGAATCCAAAGGTGGCCTCGGATGTCCTGGAACGCGCCCTCAACACCACCCTCACCATCATGCAACGGGAACTGTTCGCACTCTCGTTTGATGCTCGGAAAGGACTTCGGGATCTTATTTCGTCGAAACGGGTCTCTACGGAGACTAACTACGCGTCCGTCAACATGGCTGCGTGCTACGATGACCCCGAAGACGTCGTGGAAGTTCTGATGTCCGCCACCCGCGATCCGAACAAGGAATGCATTGTCGCGGCGCCGACCCAGTCACTCCGGATCATCCGGCCTATCTTCAACGATCGGTACGAGGTCGAATGCATCCTGGACACCGGATCGCAGATCATCGCCATGCGCCGCGACGTCTTCGACAATCTCGGGCTGCTCATCGACATCGACAAGTTCATCACCATGGAGTCCGCGAACCTATCATCGAACCAGACCATCGGACTCGCGCACAATGTAAAGATGTCTCTCGGACCCGTCGATCTCTACGTCCAAGCTCAGATCGTGAACGATGCGCCTTATGAGGTACTCCTCGGACGCCCCTTCTTTTGTCTCACCTCCGCTGTCACCCGCGACTACCCCGACGGTCGCCAGGACTTGACCATACACGATCCGAACTCGAGCCGTCGTTTCCTCATCCCCACTTTCAAAAGGGTCCACCGCTCCCGAGAGCCTAAGGAGCATTTTTAGATACCGTCGAGGAACCCCTGTGGCGAGACGAGTCTTTTATACCCCCGTCCTATTCCTCTCTTATGATATCGCTACCCGATTCCGCTCCTTCTTCAGTTCCGCTCCGCTGCATTACCTATCCGAAAACACTTTTATATCATATATCCCCTTCCGTGTCCGACCCTTCACTTCCCCTTCTGTCTGCCCCCACTTCCATGAACCGAAAAAGTACATATGATGCTCCACGAGATTCCGGTCTCGACCCGATTGCTCCGGTGTATACTTGTGCCCCTCCGCCCATACCTAATACTCATTCTTCTTGCGCGTATGACGATTTGCCGGATGAGCGACGGATCTATTCAGGTCTTGTTGATATCATCGAAGATGGCATTACTCGGAGTGCTTCATATTTGGATATCCCCCTTTTCACCACTACTTCCTACTCTACCTTTACATCCTGGTTTATCCATAGCGACGCCGACACTCCGCCCGCCTCATCCGAAGTTCCCGCTCCGACCCCGACCGCAGAGGTCTTCGCAGCGACTGCCCGGATGCCAACATACGGAAAGAAGCCCTACCGGAAGGTCGCCAATCGCACAGTACCCGTCTCCACTACCCTCCCCGAACAGTATCAGATTGTTCGACGCGAACCTCCCGACATCTTAGCCGACCTTCTCCCACTTCCTACTCAACCACCCGACTTCACTCCGGGACTCCGGTACACTCAGGAACGCGCTGACAAACAGGCCGTCGATCCGGACAACTGGCTTTCTCCCGAGGAAATCAAACTCGCGCACTGGTTCATCCGGACTGATGAGGACGCTTTCGCTTGGTCCGAGGATGAACGAGGCAAGTTCTCTGACGAATGGTTTGACCCTGTAGTGATGCCGACGATCGAGCACGTTCCCTGGGCACTCCGAAACATTCCCATTCCTCCGGGCATCTACGACGAGGTCGTCCGCGTTATCCGAGACAAGATCAAGTCCGGAGTCTACGAGGAGTCCAGTTCTTCGTACCGGTCCCGCTGGTTCTGCGTCCTCAAGAAGGATGGAAAGTCTCTCCGTTTGGTCCACGATCTTCAGCCTCTCAATGCCGCCACTATCAAGGACGCATCTATTCCGCCTCGGGTCGAAACTTATGCCGAAACCTTCGGAGGCCGTGCTTGCTACGGCATCTACGACTTGTTTGTCGGATTCGACCAACGGAAGCTCGCGGAAAGCTCGCGCGATCTCACAACATTTCAGACGCCTCTCGGAGCCAAGCGTCTCACCGTCATTCCTATGGGTTTCACCAACTCCGTCCAGATTCAACATGGCGACCTCACCTTCATTATGCGAGACGAAATTCCGCACGTCACCGATCCGTACATCGATGATTGCCCTGTCAAGGGTCCGCTTACCCGATACGAGCAACCCGACGGCTCCTACGAGACCCTACCCGACAATCCGAACATCCGGCG